TATCACAATCATTGCCTTGCCTAAGAACTCAATTAAGTCATGGGAGGGATAATACCCACGCGTTAGCTGTCTTTGGGTAGTTATAAGAGGAGGGTATCACTCAGTAATATGTCTAATTCTTATTTCTAGTGGGTCTGAGAGAGTAAAATTTGAATGAAAGGAGGTGGAAATGAAAAGGCATTGTAATGCAGACTGTACTTACATTGTTGATATTAGAGCAGTGAGGAAAAAATGGTATAGTATCTAAGAACTGACGTCTGTTCTTCTAGGAGCATGTGCACATGTGTGTGTATATTTGTGTGTTTCTAAGAAAAAAAGGTCCACACTGAGTAGACTCAGTGGGTTATCTACTTCCATACCAGTGCGAATGCCTCATGAGAAACTGCACTATGTGCATCAAAGCCCCAAATGGAATCTCCTGCTGTAGACCTGGAGCCTTCTTGTCAAATACTCAGGCTTAAAGAGCATTTTGATGAAGGGGAAGGAGAAATCCTGAAGCAAAATTAAATTCTGAAGGTGGAGATGTTTAAAAAAGTGAGTGCAAAATCACATAGTGGAGGTCTAAAGAAGATGCTCTAGCAGGCAAAGAGGTAGATCTATGGATAAGTAAGGAAGTTTAGGAATTATGTCTTCTAGAAGCATACTTCCAGCAAAAGGACACAATCCTATGTGTTAATATTTCCTTCCCACCTCTTCCTTACCCCCATATATACTCATTTCTTAAAAGTTGGTAAGTGTGGGGGCGCCTGGGTGGCTCAGTCGTTAAGCGTCTGCCTTCGGCTCAGGTCATGATCTCAGGGTCCTGGGATCGAGCCCCGCATTGGGCTCCCTGCTCGGCGGGAAGCCCGCTTCTCCCATTCCCACTCCCCCTGCTTGTGTTCCCTCTTGCTGTCTCTCTCTCTGTCAAATAAATAAAAATCTTAAAAAAAAAAAAAAAAGTTGGTAAGTGTGAAGAAAAAACATTCTCCCAAACCTTAGAAAATGGTGTTAAAAGAAGAACTTTGTTTTACAATATTATGAGTAGACTCTTCTGGAAAATATTTAGCATTTCTGATTTTGATAATTTTAAGTATTTTTCTGGGAAGTTACATTTTCCTCACCCAACTAATCATCATTCTCTTAGCAAGCCAAATGACTTTTAACTAGATATTTCCTTGTTATACTTAGCTAACAACATTTTCTGTCCACTTTTAGTTTCCTATAAAATCCACCCAAAGAGAAATTTAAGTCTTCTCCCTTGCAGGCAAGTTTGAAATAAAATTCTGACATGTGCTCACAATCAATTTGTCTGAAAAGTTGCTTTAAAAATAGACAAGTATCTATTTCTTATTATAAAGAAAACATGGTAGAATTTACTTCATGACTGCAACCGCTTTCTTATAGTCAAATGCAACTCTCTAATTTGAAATGTGGCAGAGAGCACTTGGAGAAGCAGGAGGGGATAAACTGTTAGGTCAACAATTGCTGAAGAATAGATGTTAACTTATGGGGTTGATCCTTGCAGATGTGTGTAAAAGCATTTAAATCTCCGCCTGTCCATTTGTAGGCATATGTGGAGAAATCCTGTATCCAACCTGGCAATCAAAAGCTTCATATATGGTCCTCAGAAAAAGAAAAAAGAAAAAAAAAAAGCACATTAAGGCTTGGAGAAGCCTCTTGCAGTCGATCCTTGGCCATCTAAAACATTTTCTCTAGGTATATCAAATAGAGTTCATCAGCTACGGCACTTTTTAACTGGAAGTAAGTTTGCCCTGAACCCACCTCTTCTGGGACACTTGGCAATGTCTGGAGACATTTTTAATTGTCAAGACTGGGGAGGGAGAAGGATTGTCACTGATATGTAGTTGGTAGAAGGCAAGAATGCTACTAAATATTCTATAGTGCACTGGGTAGTCCCTTACAACAAAGAATTATCCAGCCCAAAATGTCATTAGTGCCAAGGTTGAGAAACCGTGAGCTAAAATGTAAATGGTAGTAACTTAATGATGACACTGTCAAAGCTGGCCTGGGTAAGTGTGTGAAGTGGATGAGAACGGCTAGAAGTGAACGATAAAAGAACGATCATATTTTTCAAGGCTTTACCAAGAAAAGTCTTATGGAAATGATGTTATCCAAACTCAAAGTAAACTTTTAAAAAGAGTAGGTCAAATGGTAAAACTCTTCCCTCCTAAGGGGTTACCAGGCTTCAAAGAGTTAATTTGAATCGGAAAGTGAATGAATATAATAACTATTGAAGGCAAGGGAGGGAGAGAGAAAGGAAGAGAGTGAGTCTCTGGCAATTAATAATATCTAGCCAACTGGAGTTAGCTGGGTTAAGATTCTGGCTGCCGTTGCCTGGGAAAAAGGCCTTTCTCTCAGGGAGGAAACCAGTGACCAAGTTCAGGATTGGGTCAAATTAAGGTTGTATTCCAATAGAGGGGCTATGAGTGGGAGCCAGAGAATCAGATTATTGGGGAAGTTGGGGGCAGGGGTGCCAAGATAACCAGCTGAGCGCAAAAGAACTGGAAGCAAAGCCAGGATAAGCAGAAAGTCACATGGAACACAGCACAGGAACTGAGTGGTAAATTTGGCAGTGGGTTTCAGAATCCCAGGAGAAATACTCTGCCGATCAGTCTGTGGGCACAGCCACATTATGAAGCTTGTGCCCACGGCCCTCAATCGCACTCTTCTGGCTCATCAGACCCAGTCTAATTTTATCCCAATGAAAACGAAAAGATCTCATTTGACATTTCCTTGGACGTCCTTGTACAATGTGTAACAAACCCAGACAGGAATAAATCTTGTTAAGGCTCAACTCTCAACGGAGGCAGCTACCTGCTCTATTCATCCTGGACCCCAGAATCTTGGTGTAAAAATCTGGTGCATTCATATATGCGGGCATTTTTCTAGAATAATATCCTGAGAGTTATCATATTCAGTTAGGCAACAAGAGGATTGATTGAAAATGACTGAACTATATAGCATTTAACTCTTTAATGATTTTACTCCCAGAATAATCCAGGTTACTCTTGCAACAAAAAGGAAAAGACTCCAAGAAAGTTTAGTAAAATAACTTTACCAATAGTAAACAGGAAAAATAAACAGAACTGTAGAAATTTTGAATGTAATAGACCTTGAAAAAATAATAAATTGAACCAGTGAAGTGTTGTCAAGACTGGGGAGGGAGAAGGATTGTCACTGATATGTAGTTGGTAGAGGGCACTGTGTCATGTACATTATAGACCTTTGTTATTTTATTCAGTCTTTCCAATCTGCAAGGTGTGTGTTGTTTTAATATATATACTAGGCAGCTGCCCTACAAATCATGTAGGTAGGCATGAGAGCAAAATATCTGGGAGCAATATTTCATGTATAGTGGGCTGTTTGTTTGTTTGGGGTCAATAAAAGAACCACACATGGGCTTCAGAGTTTAGAAAGCATAAGTGTTTTAGCATGATAGTGAGAAAATTGGGAAGTAGAAATAAACTCCCACCTCAGAAGTAAAGACACACATACTAAGAAGATGCCTGTTTAATACAAACAGTGGCCACATTTCTTGATCTCATGACAAATTGATTCTACTTACCTGGGTGTAGAAAATGGAGGGTACTGGAGCAATCCATAAATAATGTCTATGGGCAAAGCCCAGATCTATAGACCTTTATTCAGTGAAAGAATAAGAAAAAAACAAGAACTCTAAGACATGGGGAATTTGAACCATGCATAAAAAAGAGACCTCTGAAGACACAAGATAAGATAAGGATAAGGATATTTCTTGAAAATTGTTAACGACAAGCATTAAGATACAAGAAAAACCTATTTATCATTTTTATAAGCTAGCTTATGTGAGGTAAAAAACAACGATCAAATATCAGTGGCTACCAACTAATAAGTGTAGTTCTTGTTCATACTACTTGTCTATCACAGGTCAGCTTGAAAGTTCTGCTTATCTTTATGCCTTGTGTGGCTCAGGCTGATAGAACTTCCTTTTCTCCTTTGGCTTCCTTGACTGCAAAACCAGGAAAAGGGAGCATGGAAAACTAAACATTGACTCTTAAAATTTGTACCCAGAAGTGACATGCATTACTTTCACTCACATTGCATTTGCTAAAGCAAGTCGTAGAGCCTAAGTTCTCAGAGCAAGTTGGTTTAGAACAATCCTACCCTGTGCTCAAAATGAGAAAACTGATATTTGTTAAAAATTTCTCTAACAACTGTCACAATCAACCCTTTGACTCACAAATATATGGTTGACTTTTCTTTCTATCAGCAAATTATACTTGTCCCCATCCCAAATCCTCTCCAATTACTACATTATATTTGCCTCCTTCCCAAGACCTATCCAATCACTACCTTGAGATAAAATTCTATATGTATCTCCTCTTGATATGGAAATCCATGAACCAAAATGGCAATTATCTGTCCTTCATGGTTCCTAATATGAAACTGCCAAAAGGATCAGGTTATCCAAATAAACATTTAGAAAAGAGGGGGAGAGATTCTGTCGGCCCTGGTCCAAAGCAATTCTGAAGTCCTTCTAGGTTATTACAAGGATACTGTATTCTGAAGGCAGAAAATGCTCTTTTATTAGCACTTGATTCCATTCCCTGAAATAGTTTCCATGTTCTTGACTTTGGAGGCCCCTCAGTGATGTCCTTCTTTTTACATTATCATCTTTGGCCACATGTGGAGAGATTAACAAAGCTCTACCTTTGAGACCGATTAACTTTCTCAGGCTGCTTCCTGGATGTAGAATTTTGTGGGGCCAAAGGATCTTACTTGCAATTAGCCACAAATAATAAGGTAATTAGGAATAACCAAGCAATAAATGTTCAGAATCTATGTATATATGTATGTTATGTATCTCTGTATCTAGAGATGTCTAGAGATACTGATAGAGATGTCTATCTCTACAAATATAGAAGGATATACCCTGCACATTTGTTGTATCTATCTATAGATCGTATAAATATATAGAGATATATATGTCTAATCTTTATATAGATATACATGAATAAATGATATCTATAGATATAGATATGTATATAGATAATTAGAGAGGGTTTAAGGCTTTAGAGAAAGATCTAAATAAATAAAAGTGATGATATCTCCATTTTAAATTCAGATTTTTGCATATCATTACTGAATATTATAAACATGTCACTTCTCTTCACAGTTTTCTATAAATAAAATCTCCTATAAAATATTTACCTTGCTTTATTATGGAGCTGAAAAGCTTTGTATAATGTTCAGATGGAAGACATAAACATAAGAATATCCACAGACTTTTCAAAAACAAAGTGACACTGAAAAGATGCATCCAGATTGAAAACTTAATTTTAAAAAATCTGTATTGTGTATAAACACATAGAAATGGAAGTAGAAGGACACATTCTGAATTCCTGACAGATGATACCGTGGGAAGAGTAATTGGAATGAGAAGGTGAGAATGATTAAGGAGATCTATTTAATGTTACTGTGTATACTATGAATGTTTTATAATGAAATTAAAAATGAATTGATAGCACCTGTAGTTCTGTCCAAGATGGAATTTCAGCAAATGGATTTACATTGCAGCCTAAAACAACCAAAAAAATGACCAAAATATATGAAACAGTCATTCCAAGATACTGAATATCAGGCAACGAATGATACTAATCCCTGAGAAATAGGGAACAAGTGAGATGAGCACTATCTTTGTCTCACATCTCTGCCTTGAAAAGTTTCCAGGACACAACAGAAGAAGGCAGGTGGAGTGTACTCAGGAGATAGAGCCAAGAGTCTAGGGAGACTTTGTGGTTAGAGTTTGCAGCACAGAGTACTGGAGAGGAGAGAGCTACACAAAGACAGCTCTAAACATCTGAAGATAGTCCCCCTCTAGTCCTCAGCTGAGCACTGGTAAGTACAAGCACTTGAGAAAACTCCCACACAAAAAATTGATAGTAACTGTGCCCAGCATTCATATAGGACTGAAATAATGCCTTTTCTCACCAACCAGAGTGGAAAACCTCAAGATTCACGGGGCATTGGGTAGAGTACACATGAGCATCTTGCCTCAATAGTTGGGAATAATCAGCCCCAGACTGACCACTACTTTGACCGCCCCTTCCCCCTGACAAATCTTAAAAGCAAGACTCAAAGGGATAAAACTGTTTCAAGGAACTTAACCACACTCCAGAACAAAATTCAGGAATATTTATGAGAATACAAAAATATCCCACACCTCAAATGGTAAAATTCACAAGATCTGGCATTTAATAAAATATTACCAGACATTCAAAGAAGCAAGAAAATATAACCCATGGTGAAGAAGAGTATCAATTACTCAAATCCAACACAGACGTTAGAATTAACAAAGAAATTAAAACAGTAATTGTAACTGTATTCCATATATTCAGTCTTAAGTAGAAACATGAAAATATTTTTAAAATACCCAAAGAGAAGCAAATTTTAGAGATGAAAACTACAATTTGTGATTTTTAAAAATATACCAGAAAAGATCAATGAACTTAGAGACATCCAATAGAAACTATCAAAAAAGTATCCCAGAGGGAAAGAAAAAGAGAAAGGAGAGAGAAAGAGAGAGAGAATGGTACATCTGTGAGCTGTGGGAAAACTTCACAGTTTAACATATATGGTATTGTTGTCCTTGGAGAAGAGAGGTTTAGTGTCAGAAAAAATATTTGAATAAATAATGGCCAAGGTTTTCCAAATATGATAAAAATGATAAATTCATGGATCTAAGATCTACAAATCCAAAACATAAACTATATTGAGGCACTACATATCACATTGTTCAAAGCTAGTGGTAAAGAGAAATCTTAAAAGCAACAAGAGGAAATTTTTTTAAGTTAAATATCAGGGAACAAAGACAAGAATGATATGAGGTTTCTTTTCAGAAACATTGAAATTAGATGATAGTGCAGCAACATTTATTAAGTAATGAAAAAAACCCACCCAATGTCACCTAGAATTCTATATTTAGCAAGAAAATCTTTCAAAAATGGTCAGATAAAGATGTTTTTTCAGACTTGATGACCAGAAGATTCATGCTACAAAAAAAAAAAAAAAATTAATTAAAAATAAATTAAAAATAAAGGAAGTCCTTTAGGCAGAAGGAAAATGATGCCAGAAATTAGGGTCTACACAAAGGAAATAAGAGCACTGGAACTGTTAATGCATGGGTAAATCTATACTTTTTTTTTCCTGTTATTTCAATCTCTTTATAAGATAATTGACCATTTAAACAAAAATCGAGTAAGGATTCATAATATTTAGTATGTAACAACATGTAAAAGTAGATATATGACAATAATACAGGAAGGTCAGGAAGGGAGAAATGGAATTTACTAATATAAGTCTTTTATACAACATGAGAAGTGGTACCACATCACTTAAAGGATACTGTAATAAATTAAAGATGTGTGTTATAGTCATAAAATGACAAAGAGTTATAGCTAATAAGCTACAAAGTAGATATGAAAAAATGGTAACAAAATATGAAAAGATTTTCAAAAGGCAGAAAATGAAGAATACTTGAAGAAAGAAAAAATGGGACAAATAACAAGGCAAGATAGTTAACTATAAACATGTTAATAGTCACATTAAATGTAAATGGTTTAAATACCTCAATTAAAAGGCAGAAGTTTCCAGGTTGGACAAAAATAGCAAGATCCAGTTGTATTTCACCTACAATAAATGTACTTTAAAATAAAGACAAAAATAGATAAAAGTAAAATGATGGAAATATATATACACATATATATCATGTTAATATTAATTAAATCAAAGGTGGAGTAGCTACGTTAATATCAGACAAAGCAGATATCAGATAATATCAGACAAAACAAAATATTACCAGGGATAAAGAAGGAAATTTTATAATGATAAAGGGCACAATTCATCAAGAAGACATAATAATTATTGAAGTTTATTGACCTAATAACAGAGCTTCAAAATATATAAGCCAAAAGTGATAGGACTTCAAGAGAAACAGGTACATCTACAATTATAGTCAAAGATTTCAATATTCCTTTCTCCATAATTGAAAGAACAAGTAGATAAAAATTTAGAAAGATGCTGAATCTATAGCAATACTATCAACCAAGTCACTTCTTGAAATTTATAGTAAATTCCACCCAAAAACAGCAGAATAATCATCCTTTTAAAGTACACATAAATATTTACCTATATAAACCATATTTTGTGTCAATAAATTTAAACTGATTCCAGTTATACAAAATAGTTCACTAAACACAACGGAATCAAATTAGAAATCAGAAGAGAAAGATATCTGAAAAATCCCTAAATATATATACACTAAAAATAAACTAATATACTACTTATATAATTAAAAAATTACTTAAAATATTGAAAAGAAATGAAACATTAGAACATCATTAACATTGCCCAAACATGTCAGGAGTAAAAAAATAGAAAGAACATAACAGAAAATCAGCTGATAAATACAAATAAAGTTTCTAGTTCACAAAGAATACAGAGAAAGAGGAAAGTGAAGAGAATTAATGATAGATAAGGTAGCATGTGAATGATTAAGAGCTAAGTGCCAACTTAAAACTAGTATTTCTGGAGAAACAACAAAAAGTGGTAAAGGTCTGGAAACATGTTTTCATATTAAAAGAAAACACTTCCCTGAGTGGAACACATTCAGGGGTAGCAAAATTAGAGGAAATCTTTGTCCAACAATTTTGCCAACCTGTCATAATGATGCCATCAAAAGCCATGGAATCTATCTATTAAAATCACCTCAAATGAAGTAATGGAGATGTGAAATTGAAACATCATGGCAAATTACTTTTATGAGAGAAAATAGTATATACTATGCAGATCACCTCCTTCATATATGGCAGAAATCTAGCTTTCAGGTTACTTTTGTTGCCGTCTTCAAAACAGAGCACGTCTTGATACGTAGACTTGTGAAAAATAATCATCACTTAAGCTGCACATTAAAATCCATATAATAGGTCATAGCAACATTTTTCTAGATATATCTCCTGAGGCAAGGGAAATAAAAACAAAAATAACTATTGGGGCTACATCAAAATAAAAAGCCTCTGCCCAGTGAAGGAAACAATCAACAAAATTAAAAGGCAACCTACTGAACTGGAGAAGATATTTGCAAATGACATATCCAATAAGGGGTTAGTATCCAAAATGTATAAAAAACTGATACAATTTAACAGCCAGAAAACAATCCAATTTAAAAATGGGTAGAAGACATGAACAGACATTTCTCCAAAGAAGACATTCAGATGGTCAACAGACACATGAAAAGATGCTCAATATCACTCATCATCAGGGAAATGTAAATCAAAACCACAATGAGATATCATCTCAAACCTGTCAGAATGGCTAAAATCAAAAACACAAGAAACAAGTGTTGATGAGGATGGAGAGAAAGGAACCCTCATGCAAACTGGTGCAGCCACTGTGGAAAACAGTATGGAGTTTCCTCAAAAAGTTAAAAATGGAACTACCCTATGATCCAGTAATTGCACTACTAGGCATTTATCCAAAAAATACAAAAACAGTAATTCAAAGGGATACATGCATCCCTATGTTTATAGCAGCATTATTTACAATAGCCAAATTATAGAAACAGCCTAAGTATCCACTGATAGATGAATGGATAAAGAAGATGTGTGGGGGAGGGGGGTCCTGTATGAATATACATATGAATATATGAATATTATATATAATAGAATATTATACCACCATATAAAAGAATGAAATCTTGCCACTTGTAACAACATGGGTGGAGCTAGAGAATATAATGCTAAGCAAAATAAGTCAGTCAGAGAAAGAAAAATACCATATGATTTCACTCATATGTGGAACTTAAGAAACAAAACAAACAAGCAAAGAAAGAGAGAGAGAGAGAGAGAGAGAAATCAAGAAACACTCTTAGCTATAGAGAACAAAACCAATGGTTACCAGAGAGGAGGTAGGTGGGGGGATGGGCTAAACAGGTGATGGGGACTAAGGAGGGCACCTGAGATGAGCACAGGATGATGTATGGAATTGCTGAATCACTATATTGTACACCTGAAACTAATATAACAGTGTATGTTAGCTATTCTGGAATTAAAATAAAAATTTTAAAAGGAAAAAAAAGAGAAAGTAAAAAAACCTCCATGTAATAAAATCTGAATGGTGTAATGTACAATGTTGTTTTGAGTACACAATAAAAGGACAATAGGAAAACCTCTTTGACTAGTCCTTGACTTTCTTGAATGATTTCAATATTGGCCTCACTTTTAAATTAAAAGAATAAAATGTTAGTCTGACCCAAAGAAGACAGTCACTTCCAAGATTCTGGAAAATGCACAGTAGAGCTGGCAATGCAGTGGACAGAGTGCAATGAGCCAGATCTGTGGTTTTCAATCAGGGGCAGTTTTGTCCCCCAGAGGACATTTGGCAAAGTCTGGAGACATTTTTAGCTGTTACAACTTAGGGTGGAGGGGTTGCTATTGGCATCTCCCAGGTAGGAGCCAAGGATACTGCACCACATTCAATAGCAGATCCACGGGTATGGCAGAAATTAAAAATTATAAATGAATGCTATATAAAAATCTATTATAATGATACCAGTTAGGTAAAAAAATTATAACACAAAATAATACTGTGTTTTTTTATGGAGGCATTTATACATAATCAAAAATAAAACAGTATTATATGCAGCTTCAAAATAGGGATTCCCTCTAGGGAATGAGAGAGGAAAAGATGGAGTTGGGACTTCAGCTCCATGTATACTATTTTCTTTAAAAAAAAAAGGATACGAAGCAAATTCAATAGAATGTTAACATCTATGCAATCTGGGTGGTCAGTATTTCAGTGTCTGTTATTTCATGTTCTGTTAGGACATATGAAATGTTTCATAATTCAAAATAGAGAGGAAAAATTTTACATAGCTCTTGTTATAGAATTTTGGCAAAGGTCTTTTAAACAGCTACATAAATTAAATCTGCTGATTTTTCTAAGGCTATTTTTCCAAAAAATTCAAATGAATTAATCAGTGATGATTTCTATTTTTAAAAAGATATTACCCCCTGATTTCACTCTGATAAGCTGTAGGAGTAGGTTAAGCATTTTCTGAGAATACTCAGATCCAGTAAATGTCACAGACTAAATTTTGAATCCCACTCAAGAGAGTTGAGGCGTTCGATCTTAATGATTATTGGACAACCAAAAACAGAGGTATGAGCCAAGGTCTTAGTCCGTGGAAGTTATCATTAGTACTATCCCTCCTCCCATTAGTTGATGTTTCTGCCAAGCCTGCCCTTGCCATCACTCAGGCATGACACTATGTGAGGACTCAGCATTGTCTGCCCCAACAGTCCTGTTTGCCAACCCCAGATCTAATCACTAAAATTTTCACTACTGTTCTCAACACCTCTTGGTTCAACAGTTAACCTACATTGGTACCTTGCAGCCATTTCCCTCTCTTCTTACTCCAGGTCCTGTCCGCCGATTATGGAAACCATCCAAGCCCTCTTGCTTCTCTCAGTCTAGGGGAGGTTTTCACTAACCTCAGGCAGACCACATTCTCCCCCTTTCTTTTACCTTCAACTTTCTTTTTCTTCCTCGTAGGAGCCATTCAGTTTAACTCACACCAAATATGCCTAGGCTCTCCCCAAAGAGAAATTTGGGTCGGGATCATGGTTTGAGGTCAACTTTCATTTTTATTTCTGACTTGCAAAAGCTGTTAATAACTCCTTGGGGGCAAAAAGCTCAGAATTCAGAGCAGAAAATTTGACTTTCTGTTTTTTTCTTGTGAAATCTCAAAGACACATTATCACTTATATCAGCTTATACAGCAGCCTGAACAAAAGTCTCAATAGATAATTCTATTGTATTTTGCATAAATATCACATGATCCCACTCTTGTATATAGTTTCTGCCAACTGTCCAGATAGAAAATCAAATGCCTTTTTGAGAAGAGTCCTCTGTTACCGTTGCACATTTTGGTGGGGGAGAGATCTTTGCCTCTCCACTTTCTTCAAAATATTTGGTTGGCTGCCAGGAGGCCAACATACAAAAGATACACCTTCAGTTTGCCAATTCATTTTAGCACCTTGTGCTTTTAACATCATCTTTTCTCTTGCCCCTGACCTGGCTCTGTCAAAAGACAGTTTCAGAGTAGGAAACTCCCTAAAGCCTTCCTTAGGAATGATTGAAGCCAAGAATTAATTGAGTGTTTCTGCTATCTCCTTATTTTTTCGATGGACCTTTTGCCCTGTGTCCATCTCACTGTTTTTGGCTGGCTTGCTCCCTCTAATGTATTTAAAGAACACATATTATGGGCTTTCCTGTTGTTTGCAGAAAGCTCTTTAAATTTTTTTTTGGAGGGGTCTGTTTATTTTTAAGTTTGCATTTGACTTCCCACGTTTCCTGGGCTCCCTATTGCTTCTCTAGGGCAGTCCTCTTACTTTTAAAAAGATGCTTTCCTCCAGAATAGTCTCTTGGATAGTTACTGCCAATAAAGCAGGCAGCATTTTGTTTGAATGTCTGAGCTTTAGATTACGTGGCATATATCTGTCTGGGCCTTCTAACTTCCAATAAGTAATTGGTACTTTTAGATGTCAGCAGGCTCTCTGTAGGTATTTGGACAAAAATATGTATGTATATAGGTGTGTTATGTGTGTGTACATGTATGTATCTATGTTTCTTCCTTTTATTTTTTCCAAACTAATGCCTAAAGTTTTTGTTATAGTTCCCTTTTCTAAAATTGAGTCATCTACTGATTTTTTTTCTTTTCTTTCTTTCTGAAATGTTGAATTCATTTCTTTCACGATCGCCACTGAAAACATACCACAGTACTTCCTGAAGTAGTTCCTATTCCTTGCTCAGAATCCAATCTAGCTGATGCACTCATTAGTTATTGTTGTGCTACAAACCAACCCCAAACTTGTGGCTTGAAACAACCAGCATTCAGAATGTTCATGAGCCTAAGGGTCAGGTGAGCAGTTATTCTGGTCTTGGCTGGGCTTACTCACATATCTGTGATCAGCTGTAGGTTGAGTAGGCAGCTCTAGGCAGGGCTTTCACATATTGGGAGGTCAGTTGGCCATAAGCTGGGGTGGGATGACCTTGGCTGAAACAATTGGACTTTCCTTACATGCCCTCTCATTCTCCAGCAGGCAAGTCTTAGCTTATTTAAATGATAGTGGCAGAGTTCCAAGAAAGTAGGGAAGGAGGAATCGCATCTTAAAGTCTAGACTCAGAACTGGCAATTGTCACTTTAGCCACATTCTATATTGGTGAAAGCAAATCACAAGGTCAGCCCAGATTCCCTGGGTAGGGAAATAGACTAATTCTTGGAGGAAAAGCTACAAAGTCATGGTATAAGAGGTGTAGATACAGAGAGGGGGCCAATTAAGGTCATTTTTATACTCAATCTGCCTGCCATTCTTGGTTTCCTTTAATTCTTATTTCTAAACATCAAAGGAAACTGAAAAATATTTGCTGACTACTTACTATGAGCAAAACACCTCATTAGTCACTGATAGAATCTTATTCCAAAGAAATTTAAAATCTTAGGTAGGATATAAGAAGGATTAAGAAAGGATATAAGAAAATTAAACACTATCAATAGTCTTGATTTATGAATAGGCTATGATATAAAATTTCTTTTTCCAAGATGATTATTTAAAATCTGGAATGTATTTTTCCCTTAGAAATATAAGTGGTGATTTGAAATACAGACAAAGCAATTTTTAAGCCATAATTTATGGTATATAATGTAATGCCCAATAAGACCATAAGTATTTTAGGAAATATTTACCTTTGTGAAAGGTTTATATTTAAACATTTGAAAACACCAGTAAGTTTCTTACCAGCTTCCTTCCCACTCTCTAATTCAGGGATAAAATCATAAAATGAATTACTCTGAAGGTAATTGTATTGTACATCATTATATGCTAAGTACTTTTGGATGTATCTATTTAATTTTTATATTAAGCTGAAGACACTGAAGACAGCATTAGTATATCCCTTTTAATAGTTGAGAAAATTAAGAACCAATGATGATATGTAAATTGCCTAAGATTACAATGCAGGAAATGATAGTGATGAGTACCCATCAGACTTCAAGGGTCTTGTTCTTCCCACTATTCCACTCTGCCCTGATAAACAAGTAAAGCAATGTTACATGCAGTATCTGAAATGAAATGAAACTCACAGGCTAACACTAAAGATATCCGCCATATGCAAATATCACAGTTTCAGAGATGCCTTGTAAGTATGCCACTGAAATGGCCATTTTGCCTCCCAAGTCTCTATTAGAAGATGTGGTGCTGTCTCAAATGGAAGGAAGAATCACAGTTATCTTTTAACTGATTCAATGTAAACTTTATCAATTGTGCATCACCCAGACTAGCAGAGCAATTGATGTAAACATAGAAGGAATGTTGGTGTAGAGGTTTAAAAAGAGAGAGAGAGAGTTGAAGAATAAGAATCTGCCAAAGAATGATCAGTTTAAAAATCACCAAGCCTAATGAATTTAAGTTTTCTGGCTACTGGTGTGGCACAGTGTTGTTCAAAGTTTTACATGGAAAAAATAAACATTTTTTAAATTCATAAATTTCCTTTTACAACCCAATAGTCTTCCTTAGCATACTTGCTGAGCTTTTCTAAGAAAATGTGTATTTTGGTTTTCAAGTTACCTTGGAAGAAGAAGCCATCACTAGCTAGTACTCCAAATCCTGAAACCCTCTCTCATGGACCTAAATACCCATTTTCTTGTGTGTTTTATTGGCATATCTTAAAAATCCTTGTCTAGTCAACTTATGGACTATAAAAGTTTGTTTCTAAGGTCATTTATTTGAACTTGAGATTGATTTGCTTTTGTTGCAATGATATGGTTAGGTCAAGAGTCACAAATTTTAATAATCTACAGGAGAACAGATAGGTTATATAAGTAACTGAGGCAGAAGCAAGTGTCAAGCAATAGAGGGTAATAGGGACAGTGGTGAATAGGAGAATACAGGTCTCCATGGAAGGCCCTCTAATCCTCAAACAAAATACTCAAACAAAATAAGCCTACAGATCAGATTTCTTGCCAACATGCCATCTTCATTATTAATGCCATGTGATTTATAGAGTAGTCCAAAAAACCTTCCTACTCCTTGGCCATTATAAAATAGAATAATCTTTTACTGCATCTTTAATACCCTAGATTTAAAAGTTTTGATCTTGCAAAGCTGAACTTCACACTCAAAATTAAAATGATCTCAACAAAATATTGTCCCTTTCAGTTTATGTCTGAGCAGCTCGCCAGCCTTCTACTGTTGGGCACATTAGGTCTATATATATATATATATATATCTCCCCATATATAAATTTGGGGAGAATGTATATCTTTACTATGTGCATCTTTACTAGTCTTATAATTCATGAACATGGTATGTCTCTTAATTGATTTAGATTCTTGATTTCTTTTATCAGAATTTTGTCAATTTTAATATATAAGTCCTGAATATATTTTTTGAATAAGAATAGTAAGAGCAGACATTTTTGCCTAGTTCCTGATGTTATGGGGAAAGAATTCAGTCCTTCACTACTAAGTATAATATTAGCTGTATGATTTTTGTAGATGCACTTTATCCAATTGAATAACTTCCCCTCTATTTCTATTGTTTCAGAGTTTTTATCATGAATGGATGTTGAATTTTGTCAAATGCTTTTCCTGTACCAGTTGATATGATCGTGTCATATTTCTTCTTTAGTTTCTTAAAATACTGGATGACACAGTGATTTTCAAATATTGAACCAGTCTTACATCCTTGGAATGAACCACACTTGGTCATGGAGCCATATACATTTTTTTTATATGTTGTTAAGTTCTATTGGCAATATTTTGTTAAAGATTTTTATGTCTATAGTCAGGAGGGATATTGGTCTGTAGTTGTCTTTTTGTTGTTGTTGTCTGAGTATCAGGGTAATACTAGCTTTATGAAATGAATTGGAATGTATACTCATATTTTCTGGAGGAGTATCTTAGTCCATCTGGGCTGCTATAACAAAGTACTACAGACTCTGCAGCTTATAAGCAACAGAAATTTATTTCTCACAGTTCTGAAAGTTGGAAGTCTGAGATCAGAGTGCCAGCATGGTTGGGTAATTGTCCTCCTTTGGTTGCAGATTTCTCCATGTATCTCACATGGCAAAAGGGGATAGGAAGCTCCGTGGGATCTCTTTTTTAAGAACATTAATTCCAGGGAACCTGGGTGGCTCAGTTGGTTAAATGGCCAACTCTTGGTTTCAGCTCAGATCATGATCTCAGGGTCCCGAGACCTTAGCCCTGCATCAGGCTCCATGCTCATTGGGGAGTCTGTTTGAGGATTCTCTCTTTTCCTCTTCCTCTGCCCCTCCCTGCTTGCTCCATAGCATGAATGCTTGCTCTCTCTCTCTCTCAAATAAATAAACAAATCTTTAAAAAAAAAAAAATACTAATTCCATTTGAGGGCTCAACCCTCATGATTTAATTACCTTCCAAAGGTCCAACCTCCTAACTTCATCATATTGGGTATTAGAATTTTAAAGTGAATTTTCGGGATGAGGAACCAAACATGCTGACTGTAGCAAAGAGACTGTGTAGAATTGGTGTTAATTCCTCTTAAAGTTTGGTAGAATTCCCCAGTGAAAGCACTTGGGCTTAGAGCTTTCTATTTGGGGGAATTTTTAGATAATAGGTTCAATTTTCATAAGAGATGAAGGACTATTCAAATGATCTATTTCATGTTAGGTGAGTTTTGGTAACTTGTATTTTCCAAGGAATTGGTACATTTTATCTAAGTTGTCAAATTTATACGTGTAGATTTGTTTGTAGTATTCCCTTAGTATCCCTTTGATGTCTGCAGGGTCTGTAGTGTTATCTTTGTTTCATTCCTGATACTGGTAATTTGTGTCCTCTCTTTTTGTCCTTTGTTAATCTTGCTAGAGGCTTGCTAATTTTATCAATCTTTTCAAAGAATCAGCTCTTTGTTTCATTGATTTTTCTCTGTTGTTTCTGTTTTCGATTTCACTGATTTCTGATATTATCTTTATTATTCCCCTGCTTCCTTTGGAGTTATTTTGTTTTTCCTTTTTTCCTTTTTAGGTTCTTCAGATCATTGATTTGAGACTTTTCCCCTTCTCTAATGTATGTATTTAATGCTATAAATTTCTTTCTCATCACTGCTTTAGCTATGTTTCACAAATTTTGATATGCTGTATTTTCATTTTCATTTAGTTAAATGTACTTTTTAAAACTTTCTTTGAGACTTCTCTTTGATCTGTGGATTATGTAAATGTGTGTCATTCAATTTCTAAGTGTTTTGAGATTTTCTCTTATCTTTTATTATTGGTTTTCAGTTTAATTCCATTGTAGTTAGGGAATACATGTTATAAGATACAAATTTTTCAAAATTTGTTAGTTTGTTTTATGTGAATTTTTCTATTTTTACTGTTAATATTTTTTTCAGTTCTACCTGTATATATTAGGGTTCAATTCTGCATTTTATTTATTTATTCATTTTTACTATACTCACTATTTATTATTTCCTCTGGTATTTTTTTCTTGGCTTTCTTTGGTTTGAATATTTTTTTTAGCATCCCAGTTTTGATACATTTGTAGGGTTTTGAGTATATCTCTTTTTATATCTTCTCTTTTTTTGGTGGTTGCTTGATGTATTAAATAATACATACACAACTTACACAGTCTACTAGTATTTTCATTTTACAAGTTCAACCTAAATATAAAAACCTGACCTCTCTTTACCCTCTAGTGGTTTTAATATAATTATCTTAACTATTTCCTTTACATACATTTAGAACCACATGATGATGTTATATTTTTTGCTTTGACTATCAAACATAATTTAGAAAACTCAATAGGAAAAGGAAGTCTATTGTATTTACTCATATTTTGCTTATTATGTACTTTCTTTCTTGCTAATTTTCCAAGATAACTTCTTGTATCATTTCCTTTCTGTTTAGAAAAGTTCCTCTTCTTTTGGGGTAGGTCTGCTACCCTAAAATTGAAAAACTATCTTACTTTTTCTTCCTATGAGAAGGTATTGAATCTATCCTCCATTTCTGAAGAATAATTTCATTGTATATAAAATTCTGAGTTGAAGAATTTTGCATCACTTCTGGCTCCAATGAGTTCGGATGGAAGTCCACTGTCATTCAAGTAGTTTTTCCTCTATAGATAAAGTGTCATTTCTCTCTCGCTGCTTTCAAGATTTTATTCTTTGCTCTTAGTTTTCATATGTTTGATTCTACTGTTTCTGTGGGTGGAATTTTCTGGCTTTATCAATTTGGGGGTTTATGTAGGCTTTTGAATTCATAAGTTTGTGTCATTTGCTAAATTCAAAAGTTTTAATCAATTATTCTCCAAGGGCCATTTCAGGCCTGCTCTCATTATTTTCTCCATGCAGGACTATGATGAAACAAATGTTAGATCTTTGTTATAATTTTAGAGGCCCCTGAGTCTATTTTTATTTTTAATATATTTTTTCCTCTTTTGTTTGGGCTGTATAATTTCTTTCTTTTGTGCCCTCCATTGTGCCATTCATTCTGTTGAGCCCATTCACTAGGTTTTGTTTTTATTTTTGTTATTAATTTCAGTTATTGTATTTTTTAGTTCAAAATTTCTCTTCAATTCTTCTTTATACTTGTATATATTCAATTTCTTTGCTGAAACCTTCTATTTTCATTTATTTCAAGTGTATTTGTAATTGCTCTTTAAAGCTTTCTTATCATAACTGCTTTAAAATTTGTATTAGATACTTCTAGCATTCTGTCATCACAAGGTTTGCACTCATTGATTGCCTTTTTCTGGCCAGTTTAGAACTTCTTGGTGCTCGGAATGATGAGTGGTTTTGAATTGAAACAGACATTTTAATATTATACTATGAGACTCTAAATCTTATTTAAACATGTTTTATCTGTTTTTCTGTGACATTGCTCCATCAAGGGAAGTGGAGGGGGGTGGGGTGCTGCCTTATAATTGAGAGTTGGAAGTCTAGTTTCTCCACTTAGCTTCCATCAACACAAAAGAGAGTGTCCTTGTTACTGTGAGTGGGGATGGAAGTCCAGGCTCCCATGTCATCTCTACCAATACTTCAGGGAGGAGGGTGGGGACTTGTTTCTGCCAAGTGAGAATGAAAGCCCAGCTCCATATTCAGTCTTCTCTAATATCACTTGGGTAAGGATTTACCTTGGGATGGGGCCATTCTCTTCACTTTTTACATTTTTAAAGGTTTTGTTTTATATATAATATCCAAGGTTTTTAGTTGTACTCAGTGATAGGGATAGGTAAAAGCTAGTCTACTCCATCTTCCCAGGGGAATTTTCTCCATCGTGTTCTTTTAAGTCATATTTTATCCTATGCTTGTGGTTTCGAATGTGGTTTCCATCTTTGTAATAATCAATTTTTTTTTTTTTTTTAAAGATTTTATTTATTTATTTGAGACAGAGAGAATGAGAGAGAGAGAGCACATGAGAGGGGGGAGGGTCAGAGGGAGAAACAGACTCCCTGCCGAGCAGGGAGCCCGATGCGGGACTCGATCCAGGGACTCCAGGATCATGACCTGAGCCGAAGGCAGTCGCTTAACCAACTGAGCCACCCAGGCGCCCTGTAATAATCAATTTTGCTTTTTATGCTTTCTCTGAGCTCTGCAAGCCCACTATTCATTTCTTCCATTGATTTGTAATCTGTATTTTGAGCTATTTTGGTAATTTCTTTATGGTGAATTCTCTTCTACCTTTTGATTATATTACAAATGCCATATCAAATTTTTATTAGTTACATCTTTATGTCCAACTTTTAGGATCTCTTATACACACTGTAATTGATTATAATACCCATACTCCAGTACTTACAACTTGGGAAAGGGAAAAGGCAAAGAAAAGGCATTTCAAAGGTAACACAAATGCTTTGGATGACAATATGCTTTACCACAAGAATAAGTTATAAGTATGATAAGAATGTATAAAGGAAGTGATATCAGCAGTTAGTGGAATAGGAAGCCCCAGATACACTTACCATGAAGACACCAATACAACAATACTACATGGACCAATTCCCTTTTTGAGAAATGCAGAAACCAATTAAGAGACTCTTGTCCTCCAGGTGAGTGCAAAAACAGCTGTATCAAATCCAGTAGGAAAATTCATGAGACCCTCTCACCATAATCCCTTCCCCTGGGCAATGCCACATGATCTGGAGGAAACTTCCCATTCCTGGCTTCTTTCTGGGGAGAGAAAGAGAATACTAGGCTATATATAAAACATTCTGACTACTGGAGTGAGGGACTAGGGCCTGTCTCAGCTGTCCAAGAGTGCTGGATAGGGCCCAGCATACACCAGATACCTGGGGGCTATTGAGAACAAAAAAAGAACTGAATAGTGTGTTGTTTTACTTCAGAGGAAATAAAGATGATCAGTGGTTGCCAAGAGTTAGGTGGGAGGGAGGGATGAGTAGGCAAAGCACAGAGGAGTTTTAAGGCAAAGATATGATGCAGTATGATATGATATGATATGATATGATATGATATGATATATGATATTATAATGATGGTTACATGTCATTACACATTTGTCAAAACCCATAGAATGTATAACACCAAGAGTGAGCTGTAATGTAAACTACAGACTTTAGGTGATTATGTAGTTTAATCAATTGTAACAAATGTGCCACTCTGGTGGGGATGTTAATAATGGGGAAGCTATCCATGTGTGGGGGCGGGTTATAAGGGAAATCTCTGTACCTTCCCCTCATTTTTCTGTAAACCTTCTGCTGCACGAAAAAAAAAAATGAAGGAGAGATAAAGACTTTTCCAGATAGGTAAAAGCTGAGGGAGGTCATCACTACTAGACCTGTCTTATAAGAAATGCTAAAGGGAATCCTTCAAGTTGAAATGAGAACATGCTAGACAGAAGTACAAAAGCACAGGAAAATATACAGCTTACTGACAAAAATGAATATATAGACAAATACATAAAACTGTAATGGTGGTGCATAAGTCACTTTTAATTCTGATATAGAAGTTAAAAGATAAAAGTGTAAAAATACCTATAACTATAAAAATTTGTTAATTGATATATAATATAAAAAGATGTAGCTTGTGACACCAATAACAAAAAGTATGGGGATGGGAGAAGTATAAGTGTGATTTTTTTGTCTGCAATTGAAGATGTTATCAGCTTATTAGAGGAAAGTATATAGCAATACAAGCCTTTCTCAAGAAACAAGAAAGGTCTCAAGTACACAACCTAACCCTACACCTAAAGGAGCTGGAGAAGGAACAGCAAATAAAGCCTAAACTCTGCAGGAGAAGAGAAATAATAAAGATTGGAGCAGAAATCAATGAAATAGAAACTAAAAGAACAGTAGAACAGATCAACGAAACAAGGAGCTGGTTGTTTGAAAGAATTAACAAGATTGATAAACCCCTGGCCAGACTTATCAAAAAGAGAAGAGAAATGACCCAAATCAACAAAATCATGAATGAAAGAGGAAAGATCACAACCAACACCAAAGAAATACAAACAATTATAAGAACATATTATGAGCAACTCTATGCCAGCAAATTAGATAACCTGGAAGAAATGCATGCATTTCTAGAGATGCATCAACTACCAAAACTGAACCAGGAAGAAATAGAAAACCTGAACAGACCTATAACCACTACGGAAATTGAAGCAGTCATCCAAAATCTCCCAACAAACAAAAGCCCAGGACCAGATGGCTTCCCAGAGTAATTCTACCAAACATTTCAAGAAGAATTGATACCTATTCTGAAACTGTTCCAAAAAACAGAAATGGAAGGAAAACTTCCAAACCCGTTTTATGAGGCCACCTTACCTTGATCCCAAAACCAGACAAAGACCCCATCAAAAAGAATTACAGACCAACATCCCTGATGATCATGGATGCAAAAATTCTCACCAAAATACTAGCCAATAGGATCCAACAGTATATTAAAAGGATTATTCACCACGACCAAGTGGGATTTATCCCTGGGCTGCAAGGTTGGTTCAACATCAGCAAATCAACCAATGTGATACAACATATTAACAAAAGAAAGAACAAGAATCATATGATCCTCTCAATAGATGCAGAAAAAGCATTTGACAAAGTACAGCATCCTTTCT